AAGTATTTGTCATCCCTATCTCACTCATTTCCAGATATATGGTTGTGTTCAACTTGTCAACTGCAACTACCTATAGTCCCAACTCTCTAGAATCTAGATGTGGTCTGACCAGTGTTATCAAAGGCGAAAAGTGCAAAAAAGCTCTAAGATCCGTTAGGGTTTTAAGCACAACGCGCAAATAAAGCGTGGGCTTAATGAAAAATGGTGCAAAGGGAGAAAAAAGTACAAATATATTTGTTTAGTCCAAGACTAATAATTATTATAAACATGAATGACAAATATATGACCAAAGAAATAGAAATATTTTGTATGATAAAGTGAAATATCAATTATTTAGTGTCACTTCTTCAGAAAAGGCTCATTGGCACGAAAAAGTTTGCCTTAGAACCTTGATCACGATACTGAAGCGCTCAACACGTTTTGAGCCTCGCTTCAGGGCTTAAGCGCGCCTTTGACTACACTGGGTCCGACTGGATAAAATAAAAAGCTGAGAAGTTTGAAAATGCATTATGAAACTGAGTCAGAAGCTATATATCTTTGTGGCAGGAACAGACATCAGGCATTTTCGAAAACAAGAGTCATGCACATTAAGATGCTAGCGGAAGTTGTGATACCAGAAATGAGTGCCATAACCAGCTGCAACAGCATTGCTACTTTAAAATACGGAGCTGACTCAGCACTGATCTATGTCTTGTGGAAGGTAAAACATTCAGAGTATGTTTCAAAACTAAGAGTGGTACTCATTAAACGGTGCTAATGAAATTTATCATAGTAGCAAAGGGCATTGTAACTTGTGGCATTGCTCCTCCAACATAGAATAGAGAATATAGGTGGAAACAAGGAGGTAGGTGGAGAAAGGTAGAATTTGAAAATTAGTAGCAATAGTAAGTATTAGTGCAACTGCTTGTTTTTTGATTCATAATAAGAGCATGTTTTGGTTCATGAACTAGAAATTCATGATTGAACATCTCCGGATTAGTCATTCTCGCCTTGGATGGGTCATCCTCACCTTGGATAAGCCATTGGGTAAGTAATCTTCGGATAAGATCTTTTACATATGTTTGATTAACAAAAAAAGTAATGAAACCCTGGATCAGAATATCTAATCATGTCATGTATTTGGCTCATTATTAATGAATATTTTGATCAAAAAACAATTGACCAAATGTTGTGGAAAAATGAAATCTAGTTTTTATTTCACTTAATTTATTAATTATAAAACTAAAAACACATATAGTGCCATCAGATACAAAATTAATTATTTTTTATTTGTTACTACAAGTAACTAATTACTAATCATCACAAGGCTTTTCTAATTAAGAATATTTTGGTAATGCAACCCTAGAAACTAATCCATAAATTGGAAAAGTGGTAACGCCTGGAAATTTGAAAAGCAATGTCCAAATACAGGGACAAACAAACTAGGAAGACTATTCATTTCTGTATGCTTTGAATAGCATGATTAGAAAGACATCGTGGATGTTATTAGAGAGGGAGAGAGGACATTTGTTTCCAAAAATCAGGTATCAACAGTACTTTATTTTTTTTGAAACTGGTAAGGTTGAATTCTTCAGCATTAAGGGTATGCTGGCTACCTCCACAGGTATCAACAGTACTTAAAGATTTGTGGAAGGATGAATGCCGAATGATCCAGATATAGTCTTGGACTTCATATACTCCTTACATACATACAAGAGATAAGCTAGCTATATTTTGCATACCATCAGTATCCTCTTGGTGCTGCGATATTCTGTGAAGAAAACTAGTTTACTTATTTTTTGAGGAGCTGAAATGGAATGTCTCTGTACAAAACTATACTTATTAAAAAGAAACTTACGAGTTTGTCTAATTGAATAAACATTTGGTTAAATAAAAGGCCTATAATTTGGTCATTAAAATTATGGGTTATCACTCTTTTTAAGTGCCAATACAGTAAGACTCTCATCCCCTGGCTATTAATACAATCTCCTTCGGTATTAAATAGTGACACTAGGATTAAAGGTTTTGAGATGACTCATCCTTGCATACTTTTTTGCATCCAAAAACAGGATGATGGAATTGGTCTCCAATACCAACTCATTCAGCCTCGTTCCCTACACAAAATGCACTAAGGGATTATGTTATACCTGTGTAAGGATTCACGTTGAAACCAATATTGTCAAAAGCGCGCTTAAGCCTTGAAATGAGGCTCAAAACGTGTTGAGCATTTCCCCTTGCAAATGTGCACTTCAATGTTGTTATCAAGGTTCTAAGGCATACTTTTCCTTGTCAATGAGCCTCTTCTGAAGAGACAACACTAAACAAATGATATTTCACTTCTTTTTTTATAACCGTGGTGTCCAAGCTTGCACGCACCTCGACTAATTCCACAGAATACCTACCACCTCCCACCGGCAGCAGATACCGAGTAACTCTATCCATCAAGGCTAGCACGGATAGGAAGAAATCACCTAGTGTTTTTTTGTCTCTGCTGAAATTTGAACTTGAGACCTCACGATTCTCTCTCAGTTCATTGACCTCATTGATTTTTCACTTTACCGTAATTTTGTTTTTAATTTCTTTAAACATGTTTATGTCATTCATGGTTATAATTGACAGTTTTGGACTAAAAATACATATTTCTATTTTTTTTTCTCCCTTCGTGCGTTTTTCTCATGTTTTATTTTCCCTTTGCACTTAAAGCCCAACAGACCTTAAGAGTTTTTTTCCGCTTTTTGCTTTTGATAACATTGGTTGAAACATTTCCCTCCTCTCCACCTCCCCAAAATGAAATGACGTCTAATGTGCATAACAAGAAGGGAGATTTATGAGAACTGACAATGCTTCAATGGTTCCTGTCACTCTATTTCTCTCCAAACAACTTACAGACTAAGAAAAAGCCTCTTGTTTTACCAATTTCCTTCTTTTTTTTAAAATAAAAAACATTTCTTTTTTCTTAAGTTATGGAGCTATGAGGGAAGTACACTCCTCAACTGTTAACAACATTTTCCATATAGCCACAATTTGTGCAACAAGTTATAGTAAATTCTGTAGAAGGGCTGAAATTGGCAATCATCATTAGCATTATTGTAAATAATTGAGGATACTGAGATGACATCTACTAATTAGAATGAGTTAATATTGAAATCAAAGAATTGTACAGAACTCCATTACGAACTTCAAATATATCTAAGTGATGCAGGTAAATTGCGTTCAACATTAAGTTAAAAACATGAGTGATCTTCATCAATTGGCTGTCTTCCATTTAATAATCAATCCTATAGCTGATAGTAAATTCATAATCCTAACCCTTCCGATCAAGTAAAACTAACAAAACTCAATAATATTTTTGGATAAATCACACGTGGATAATTTTCAGGTGAAATTGAGCACTCAATTATCAAAAAAAGAAGAAGAGGTAATTAAGGAAATTGGACCTTCTCATTGAGAGAATGACATTTGGACTGGACAAAGGCATCAGCATCGAAATTGTCGGATTTGAAGACGTTGAGATTTTCTTCGAGCTTGGGGCCGGTATCCTTGTTGATTCCTTTAGACTGAGTGACCGCATGAGCTCTTGAACGAGAGGATTTCACGGAAGCCATGAGTGAATCTAATGGCGGATGTTTAGGGTTGAAATATACAGCAAAAATAGGGAACACGTAAGAAAATCAAAAGGGTAGATCTAATCCAAAGGTGAGAGTTGTTATCGCCATCGCCATGGATGAAAATGATTGACGAAAAAAGAGGAGATTAGTTGTAGAAAGAGAAGAAAAAAAAAAGGGAGAGTCTGTTTGATTGTGTTGTTGGTTCGCTAATCGCCAGCCTACCCACGCCACCGAATTTTCTCTTTCTAAAATCTTACCTATGTTTATTTACTGCCCGCCCGGTACCCCTACCTTCCGGGTGCTTGTTTCGTTTTAACTTTCCATTCCCTTTTAAAAAAGGATTGTTTTACAAATACTTGATACTACTATCATTACATTATTTTGATATTAAAATTAACGTGCTAATATTTTGGTGTAAAATTAACTAAGTTACTACTATTATTATTTAATATTTTACAATATATTAGTATTTTATAAAATAACTATCATACTCTATTACTCGTCGCATGAATTGTCATGAACATCAATTATTCATTTTCAAATAAAAGAATTCGTCACATGGAGAAAATATATGAAAGGCTCCATAAATACTCATTATAGATATATCCTTGAACGAAGAATATGTTAGGACTTCGATTTTGAATTGTAATTCCTCAATTGTGAATACCTAGGAGGGTTTTTGGGTGTCAATTGTTAATCAAGGACTTTTTAAAGTCTACAAGCTAATTATGTATGTTTTGGACATAAATTGCAGATCTACAAATACATCTATTGATCTACATACGTAAGGTGTGTTCTTAAATACAATATTGGCATGTACTATCAAAATGTTTGAGAGTTGAATTTAATGATTACATTTTCTGTATGACAGGGAGGTAGGCCATATATCATTGTTTTGTTATTTTTTATCAAACAGAAGAGGGAGTAATTTGACAGGGAGGTAGGTCCTATTATTATTATTATTATAATTTGTTCTATCTGCTTTCTCGCTAAATAATGAGAGGAAAAATGACTAAACTCAAAGATGATTTCTTATATGGTAAGCAATGGTTTATCTCTTGTTTTACTCTTTCTTTGTTGGACATCATATTCATCTTCCAAGGCACTTCTCAACTCCAAACATCCTCGAGATGGAAAAAAAAAATAGAAGAATGGATTAAAGTCAATATTGCCCAAAATTCAACTGTTGGAAAGATAAGACCAATTCGAGAGACGAACCAGTCAAAACACTGACTACTAATTAGTTTAAAAGATAGACAATAATACACTCCTTTGGCTTGGTATCTAATTAAAAATAAGCCTATACGAGTTGTCTTCCCGTTGGACGACATTGTTGACATTCTTATAAACTTGCCTATATTGTTAAATGTTAAAACACACTTCATTTGACTTTTTTTTATGAGCTATTGTCCCTTAATGCCAACTCGTGATCATCAATTCACTTGGATTTCAAAACTATTAAAGATTCAACATAACACAAGAAAAACTATATCATCTGATCTGCATCCAACAGAAAAGATCAAATTCTATTGGCTATATTATTGAAAGATAAAAAGGTCCCAAATCAACCTCCAGCAGACATGCACTCTGTATAGTGCTGACGCAGTACAAAGACATCGAGAAGAAACAATGCCTGACATTCAACCTTATTTTCAATCTTCCGGAGTGTCTGAGCGGATGGCTGTGGAAGAGATCAGCAGAAATGTTTATCAGTAAGCTAAAAACCTAATGTTTCTCAAAGCCAGTATGACAATTATAGCAAATGTATAGCCTAGGTCAACCCCATTCTCCAAATCCCTCAACCCATCAAAATAATGAAGTATCTGAAACACCATAAGGAACACACACATCAATTATGCAGAAATATGAACTTAATCCTATCTGTAAATGCACTAAAGAAAGAAGCACATTGAACATACGACACAATTACACAACTTTTATCTTTTATCTTATTTTATCAATCTTCATGTAGTAGCTTGCTTACTTTATAAATCCAAGCACCACATCAACACGTGAACACAGATTCCGATAAAACTATTGTTTCTAATTAAAAAGAAGTCGCACAACAAGCTAAAATCCTAATTTTTCACAGATTCAATCATTTAGTTGTTCCAGCATGTAGAAGCCAAATCCAATTAAAGAGAAGATGCATGCATGTCTATAACAGAATCGTAGATTACAGTCCCATGTCCAGCCATTCTGATCCTCTACTTCCTCTATTATTAAGTTGTATTTCACTCAATATGTACATTTCTCAGTTTTATATACAAATAAAACATTGCACTTGGTTGACAAACATTATTATCAAACTTCCAGTACCCCAAAATATCACCAAAGCACCTTCTTCATGCCCAATCCACACTTCTAATATTGTCATACATCCCCTAAGTTTATACACAACCAAAGACTAGAAAATAATTATAAGTAATAGTTTTTTAAGGTAACATACATAATATGGAAATACATAACATGGAATTCACAAATGGGCCAATACGTGAACTGGGGTGGATAAGGAACGACAAGGTTAAGCTTAAGCATTTGGTTAATCCAGGGCTGACCCCAGCTTGCTTGGGACTGAAGCAGAATTGTTGTTGTTGTAGAGTTAAAATTCTGGTCATATAGGACCTCAAGTAACATGACATGTGTTCAGACAGTTGAGAATGCTTTCTTTTGATAAAAGAAGCAACTAGTTGGTTGATGTTTTCTGATAATTGAGGATGTAATCTCTAATTTCACAGCGACATAATCTCTAAATTAGACATCAATGGCAAGAAGGATATATGTCTTGAAGACATAAAATTGTCAAATCCAGCATAAGTTATAGGCACTGGCAACTGAGGAATGAACTCAAATACTAATACTAACAATATTAAAAACAGTGGCACAAAGGGGACCTTTGGGGCATATAATTACGACAAGAAGGACGAAACCCCCCAAAAAAACAAGAATAGATTTAAATGCACTGAGATCACTGATTTAAAGGGCTTGGAGTAAACTTAAAAACACTTGATCCTAGTCACATTTCAACTTCCCACAGTAAAGTTAGTGGAAAAATCATTCAGCAAGGAAATCATTGTCGTAATCTTAATTATAATTTGATAAAGGTAAAGCTAACTCCTTTTTTTATACTCCCTCTATCCCTTTTTACTTGTCATTTTTGACAAATCAAGAAAAGACTATTTTTTACATATTATACCCTCAATTTTATTTAGAGAGTTAATGTTTTTGAAAAAAGTAGAGTAAATTGATTTTGGAATTCCATGAATTAATAGGGGTAAAATGGTAAACTCACTATGTCTGTCAAGTAAATAGGGACAGAGGGAGTACCATGGTGTCAGGGCCAACTTGCACGCACATCAATTAATTACATGCTACTTTCCATCAGCACAAGTACGAGTAATGTTGTTTATCAAGGCTTAGACAAATGGAAAAAAAATTGCATAGTGTTTTTTTTCTGAATAGACCTCACATTTCTCAACCTACGGCATGAACCAATAGGTAAAAGCTAACTCTAGGAAGGATACTGTAACAAAGCGAAATGTCCTTCAATCTTCATGTAAGGACCCAAATGAGGCCAAACAGGGGATGCATAGAACAGCACAGAGAACAATAGTCACACACACATATCATAGAATCCAGAAATGTAATCTCCAGCAGGAACACAAACCCTAGATTAATTGATAATTGGGGAAACCCCAAAATACATATTAGCCTTAAACATTTAAAAGGCCCTAAAAAGACAGGCCCGTCACTAATCAGCAGCGAATTTGAAACAATAAAATGACAATCAAAACAGTAAAGAAGACCAAGTAAGCAATCGAATCATAAATTTATGAAGCAACAAAAGGATGTGATTGCTTACTAGGTTTCTGAGGCTTGCCATCAGCCCATTTGCTGATAGTGTAGTGGACCTTTTCCCGAGTGAGGGCTTCGGACTTGTAAGGTTCCTTAAGGCAATTCCTTACCAGATTGGCGCACAGATTTGAGTATGTTATGTAAGTCATCCCCGCCGATCTCCAAAATGGCGCAGCTGCATTCGACGCCATTTCTCTTTCAACTTTTTCTCATCGCTCTCTGCTACTAATTATTGTCCGGTGATTACTGATGTTACTAAAATACCCTTGAATTGTTCAGGGCTTTCTCATAAAAATAATAATTGGAAAATCAATTTGTTATTGAATAATGGAGTACTCTTGAATAATGTATCAAAATGTTCCTTAGTTTTATATTTCTAAATATAATATTATATACAGGTTGTAGAAATTAAAGAATTATTAAATTAAGAAATTACATTCTTGAATAAAGTTGAATAAGTAGATACATGAGTCTTATGTCGCATAATACACGTAAAATGCAAATTTTCATGTAAGATGTTACGTGGAACATGTGTGTCTATTTGTTCAACTTTATACAAGTGGCTACTTGTGCACATCCAAAGTTGGAGAACACAAATGTCAGTAAAGGTGAAGTGAAAAGGGTATATTATGTATTATGCCAATAGAAAAACTTACTAAATAGTATACAAAGAGATTGGGTCAAAAAAAAAGAAGTAAGACAGTTAAATTAGGACAGAGTGAGTACCTGATAATGCAAGCATATCAGTTTGGCTATGGCCATGTCTGACAAACATGGTATTGAGTTGAATGTAAGCAATCCTATGTGGCACCTCTCCATGGTTAGTATTCTTATTTATCTTTTTTCTCATTTTTCTTCATATTTCTGCTATTAATTGAATAATATAAAAAAACAAATATGTTAAATATATTAGTTGCAGTTATGTCACATTTAATACCCATAACTGTAGCACATAAATATTACAAATTAAAAGGGAAATAAATAGTTGTTGATAACCTATATGAGAGAATAGCAACATTTTTCTTCCTATTTCTTCTATTAATTGAATAAGATAAAGAAACAACTATGTTAGATGTTACGATCCGATTTCGAAAACTAAGGTTTCGGAACCAATTTCGCAACTTTTTGGCAATTTTGTTAAGTTTTGGAAAAATTTATAATTTGGAAGTCGCCACTTAATTTTTTAAGAAAAATTAAGAAAACCATTTAAAAGGGATAATTTTTGAAAGAAAACATTTGAATAAACCAGAGTCGGGTAAGGGTTCAATTAATTCTCTAAGGAAGGGTTTAGGCATCTTAGAGAATCCGCTAACACGCGGTTGACCGACGGATTTAAAAGTTGGCTAATTTTAAGGAAAAACTTAAGATTACTTGTGAAAAATCTTATTTAAAATAACAAGTCTTTTTATACTTATACATCCATCTTATTCCAAGTATGAAATAACTCAAATGCTAAAGTGTCAAAATAAAATTTTAACTTAACAATTTATCCGAGTCAAGGCTTTGAGTCGAATAATCAACACAATTACTTTGGCATGGATTTGAAAGCTAAATACTAACTATGAAAGAATATGGATAATTCTCAAGTTAGCTTTAAAGCTTAGATTGTCTAACTAAAAAAAATGGTTTTGAAAATTTAAATGCTTGAGTAAAATGAGTAACAAAATAGAAAAAACTTCCCCAATGATTCATCTAAATTAATGAGAAAAGTTAATAAAAGTTAGCATTTCCAAAACAAATTAAGGGCATAAATCGAGATAGTATATAATAAGAATCTAGGCCGTTGGCCTAAATTCTCTTTGCTGCTGCCATGGTGTTATTATTGCCGATCTAATTGGACTTTTTAAGTCCAAAAAAGAATCCAATTTTCAATCCTTTGGGGCTGCTGCCATCCTGCTGGTTAAATGAGACTCTTTTAAGTCCAAATTTTCCAATTTTCAGCTTTTGGGAGTGTCGTAACTCTGCTATAGAGCTGCTGCCCGTGGTTTGGATTTTAACCCGTTAATATTAGCTTCTGTTTCACGTCTCGGATGAGATTGACTCAAAAGAGAGGAGTATGCAAGAAGGGGGGAGTCCATTGGACTCAAATGAATGTCACATGCGAAGAAAGGAAAGGAAGTAACGTTAGAACTAACATAAAATAATAATAATAATAGTACAATAAAATAAAAAATCAAGCTAAGCTGCTAACTTAGCATTACAGAAAAAAAAACTTAGAATCTATCAACATCTAACTACCATCTTAAGAGTAGGCCTTCTACTAATAACCAAAATAAGGAACATGCATGATTAACAACTAAAAAAAATTAAACACTTAGTGCGAGATTTTTTTTTATTTTTAAAATAAGCTAAAACAAACAGAGGAGTCATAATATTTAGCTTAGCTACTGATGTGCAGAAAAACATTGGATAAACAATAACAGAACACTACTTTGGAACAATATCTTTGGAGCCAAAAATCCACTCATAATGTAAACCAAACTCAAAAGATCCAACTAAAACTTATACCATCAGAGGTTCTATGAGAAATCTAGAACTAAACATGTGCAAAGGGACCCAAGAAATTCAAATAAGAGAGGAAAAACAGAGAAATTGATTCAATTTAAAATAGCTAACAAAGCTAAACAAAGCAGTGGGAACAATAAGCAATTGATCAATGAAAAATGGAAAACAACGCATGCTAAACTTGTTGTGAACGAGGCTCTAGGTCTCAAGTTAAACTTCATAACGAATATTTAAAATTCAACCCCTAATAGAATCAAACTACTCAGGTAAGCAGACCAACACTTAATACCATACCTAAGTTGAACCTTTAAAACCAGCCTCGGGACAAAACAGAGAGCAGAAAATAAGATAATACTATCATGTAGCATTTAAATGTAAATCCAAGAAACTCTATACTCAAATTCAAGTAGGGGTCTGAGGATGGTAAATCAATATACTTTAGGATGCATAAGAGCCACGATATAAGCTTTCATTCATCCAAGCCTAGCTCTTTGGAGAATGCTAAAGAGCAACCCCAAAGGTAAGCTATTTTCAACACAAACATGACAGTCGAGCTAGCAAGAATGATGCATTTTTTAGGCTTTTTTCTGTCTAATCAGATGTAATGCAAAACCAAATAAGTAAAATTTGCTATTTATCATAGACAAGTTCATATTTCACGAAAAGGAAAAGTCTTAAGAAAAAGAACTTAAGCTTAGATCAACAACACCAATAGCCTTCTCTAACTACATGATTCATCCTAGTCTATATACAGTAAATTTCTAGGCATGGAAACTTAAAAATTTGTCAAGACTCAATGTTTAGCTAGGTCTGGCAGGTTTCAGGAAGTTACACATTTAAACCAGATGATCACAAGACTAGTGTATATTCATTTTAAATCAGAGATAGCAAACAGATTGTTAAATAGACAAAAGAAAGGGAAAAGCTCAGCCTGAGCTAGGACAACTTTTAACCATAAGAAAGATAATCAAACTGTGTTGAATCTGAAATTTTAACAAACAACATATGATAATGAAGAAATGCTAGATGGAACAACAATAACTCGATTGATTCAAACTATACTAGAGATTAGCTAAAAAACTAATAATTTGGGCACAACAAAGTTCAGCATAACACTCGGTCCAAACAAACTTGAGGCAGTGAAGTACACAACTTACAACTCTAAACATATGTATCTAAAGAAAGCAATGAAGAGAAATCAACAACTATATAACATGGATTTCAAAGTCGAATGAAAATAATAGCAACTAGAAACGCCTATAAAGACTTATGAACTCGACTAAGTAAAAGAACCAAATTCACATCTTGAACTATATAAGAAGAAGAAAAAACCATCAGTAGAGCAAAATATTTAATAAACTCATTTAAAATTGAATAATAAAAACTTTTGTTGTCGTTCACATAACCATTACACTAATCACATTGAATCTAAAAAATAATTAATACTAAAACAAACAACAATTCTGCAATGCAACAGAGAGAAAGGATTAAAGAAAGAGCAAGAAGATTACTTGGTTCTGGGCAGCGAACCGGATGGACGAGTTTGACGATGACAACCTCTACCACCAAAACGAGACTATGAGGACTCCTATGAATGAGCAAGGAATCCACACTATAATCGCACTGATCTCTCCTCTGTTTCGAATGTGCTTAGTACGTATTTTTACTGTTTTTGCTTAAGTTGTTCCAAATATTTTTTTTGCTCAAAAAAAATCCCCCCTATGAATGAATAAGGAGGAGGTTTATATAGGGGAAATTAGGGTTCGTAATAGAGGGGAAAAGATGAGGGTAAAACGGGTAAGAACCAAGGAACGAATTCAAAATTCAAAATTCTCCTCTTATCCTCAAACAGGGGAGAGCTTATTTTCGCTCAAATCCAAAAGATTTCAAAAAGAGGAAGGGCGAGGTGGACGTCTAGGATGATTCCAATGTCCTTGAACGTCGACGTGTCTCCATCTTAAGCTGAAAAAGGACAAAAATGCGGCTGTTGCAGGTGCTTTTCGCTGGAATCGCGACTGGAACAGTACCATCGTACTGGGTGAAGAAGGCGACGAGAATAAAATTGTTACGCGTACATAAACGCCGTGAATCGCTTTCCGTCCGCTTGTGAACGTTGGAGGAAATATTGTTGATGCTTCCGTCTGCTGGCTGTGAAGACGTCGTGCATTTTGACGTCGCGCTGCTTGGGCTCGCTGGATTCGGGTCACGTTCTGGCTGGGTTTCGCGAGTTGGGTCACGTTTCTGCGTGAAAGAGAAAGAAGAAGAACATACGGGGGTGGGGTCGTTTCTGGTATTTGTTGTTGTTGTAATGTATGGGTTGAAAGAATTGGGTTTTTTGATTGAAAAGTTGTTGGGTATTTGTTATAAGAGTTGGGCTTGGGTTATTTGTTGAATTGGGTTGTCTGAAAATACATCAAAAGAGGCCCAAAAAGATATAAAATTGGAGGTGAGGATTGGCTAATATTGCAATTGAGAAACAATGAATTGCAATTATAACTATGGAAGTTAAGGACTTGGTCCTTTGACCATATCTTAAATAAATTGCAGGCGATATGAATTACGTATTTAATTAATTATTAAGCTTCTTAACTTTAACAACATCAAATAATCATTTAACATAAAAATCATTTCGAAATAAAGAGAGTAGTTATGTACTCTAATTGATTTTTTGAGGAAGTAAAACGCACACTTAGTTAAAACTCTATTTTTTAGTAAAACTATTTTTCTAAATATTTATTCAAAG